GGCAACAACCCCAATCGCCACGTAATTACCCAAAAGCGTTGGTATTTGTTTAAACTGTTACTAGTAGTTTTCTTGCATGAGTAAGCACAACCACAACGGAACTGAGTCTCCCCAGGCGAACTCGGATTGTCTGTCAGTCGATCCGGCCCAGCCCAATGCTTTGCTACCAGTCGATGAGATGATTTAATGCCCTGAGAAAATGCTTTACACTAAGCTTCATGGTTTTCTGCCATTTTGAGCACTTTCCTTCATCTTTAAAGATATGAAATCGAAAAAAAAACAGGTAGAAAATGCCCTTTCAGTACAAGAAAGCAATGTTTCACATAAATTGGAGTTAAGCTGCCGGATTTTTCACAAACAGCCCTTACTGGTCATAGCAGAACTTAAACCTCACGTGAGGAAACCTTACAGCCATTCTGTCTTTTCGAGAGCAATCCGAGAGCCATATACTCCCAGACAGTAGGTGAGGTACTACCAGAAAGGGTATTACCACACGCATGGTCGGCCCACCCAAACCAACCTGTCTTCCAGCTAGACAGGATTAGTCATTTTGTACCACCCTGTTTTGTACCAAGGACAGAGGCGCTGTTTCACATCACTGAGTACCGCGATTCGGAGTATGAGTTTTTCTTCAAGATTCGAACGTAACTACGATTGTCAAATGAAATAGAACGCGCGAGCGAATCTTTAATTGGGAGTGATCACTTTCAAACTTTTATTCTTTATTATTATCCTATTTGAACTGGTCAACTGTGGTTCGAAGGACGACTAGATAAATTTCTTGATTTATTCTTTCCTTCCCCAGTCCATCTTAGAATTTAGTAGAACCAGAAGTTCTCTCGAGTAATTAGAAGAGCGAAGGCTTGGATGGCTTTACTGGGATTTATCCCCATAGGCAAGCAGTAACATCAGGGTACACACTCAACTCGAGCCCCACCCTTTCTCCCATATATAGCTGGGATGGAGAATTGATTCGTCAAGATTTCTTCAGCGTCTTCAGAGATTTTCAGACCAAATGCCATAACTTGAATGAATATTTCTGTCAAAATATGACCCAACCGGGATGGATGTACCCTTGCGATTTGAAAGCCATTCTATCTGGCAAACTTCTTTTATCTAACAAAATTGATGGATGGGGAAAAAAGCAATGAGGGCTCTTTCAACGAATCCCCATATTCAGCGGTGGTGGTGATACATCATAAAATTTCAGGCTGTCAGTTTATTTTTGTTGCTTCGATTTTGCCAAGCACAACGGAATAGCGGCGAATATCAGCTTGAGCATCGGTTTGAACGAAATCCATCTACGACAACGACAACAGAGAAGAAGACTGTACCCTAGCATCTGGGTAGCCTATAATAAAGCCCCTACCCCTAATTATTATAAATCCCCACATCGTCGCTGCCCATATATGTTACGAAAACATCTACGAATTGATTGACCTTGCAGAACTAGAAAAAAAAGTGAAAAAACCACCAACACCACTTGAGGGATCATTTTTTACAGTAATTTTTGGAAGTATACTGTCTTTCAAATGCTGGAATTGTTGCTTATTTTTTAAATATTGATTTTCGTGACATAATTAGCAGACTATATTTGGATCTCAATGTTTATTTTACCATTTGAGCTTGTTAATCAACATAGCCATTTCCTCAGATGTGAAACGGCTCTGTTTTGATCTGATCATGAAGAGGCATGCGCTTCACTTGGCTGCTTTCAGAGCCCGCCGGCCGGCCCCGCCAACGCGCGAGCGCACGCTGGCGTGCCGGCCGGCGGACTCTAAAAGTAGCCACCGTATTCTTACTTTGCCTGATGTTCTCCTTTCGTCTTGTTTTTTTTAGAGCTGAAAAAGAATGTCTTTTGTAGGGATCTCTTTTTTTAGAAATCGATTAGTTTAGTGTGTGCCTTTTACCATAATTGGATTGCACTTTTGTAGCCACATACATACATATATTTATTTCGATCGATATTTCTTATTTTATTTATTTATCAACCATAGATGAGGTTTACCCAGCTTTGTCAAATCTCTTTTTCTCTTTCATACATTGCTCTGCTGGGAATTTAAACTGCCATCATACTTTTCATACGCTTCAACTGTATCTTCATTACTTCAGTAAAGAATTCAATTTTAAACAAAACAGTTTCTTCAGCAGAAAAACAAATAGAAGCTTCGGGAAAACCAACGAATTCCCAGATGGAATTTATGAGCACCATCAGGGCCACGGGCAACTGCTGGTGCTCTTTTCAAGCCATCGATCACTGGGTGCAAGCATTGACGCTAATGAGGCCATTTTTGCTTATCCTCGGCCAAAGTTTTATGATAGGGAGTTCCATTTATCGTTGAACGAACGTCGCCAATCGGCATTTTTACAAACCCCGAAAGACCTCCAGCGACAAGCGTGAGATGGAATCTATTTCATGGTGGATACGGTAAAAAAAAACCGTTCTTGTCATTTCATGCCCTGTCAGGGGCCACTCCGCCTACATAGTTCTTCCACTTTTGTGTCAACAATTGATTCCAGTTTTAAACACCTCAGTACACTCCCACGATGGCCGACGATTCCCTCACTCATACTGCCCCTGGTACCCGATTCCATTATGCCTACTCGGGTAGGAAAGAAATTCCGGATTTTCGAAGGGATCCCCCAACCGGATTGTTCTCGAATTACTGAGTAGACAACCACTCCCAGATCGAGTAACTGTCCCGACTAATTGAAACATTGAGCACATGAGGTGGTATAAGCTTGTGCAGGTCTCGTAAGGTTGTAAAGATGAGCTTAACGGGTGCAAATCGAAGTCCAATACATGGCCCATCTTGATGATAGCAAGTCAGACTTTCGGACAGGACGGAATTGATAGCACTTGAGGGGAAATGAAATTTCCGTATATCGTGCGCTTTGTACGGAAACTCATGCCATTTCAGGGGAAATGGTGGCAACTGACCAAGAAAAAAATTCATGGATTCGATGCGTAAGAAAAGTCCTGTGCTACTCCTTGGGAGACTACGAATAGACTTGAAGCACTCGAAATACTTGAAAATAGCTAAAATTACCCGCTGAATGGGTACTATCAGTACTTACAGATGGCAACTTCGATGATGATAACTACTAGATGGCAAACGAGCCTTCGCAAAGTTATCCATTACATCTCATACGTTGCAAATAGATTCCATTAACCATTAACTTCTATCCTCTGCTATAGCTGCTTCCTCTAGGTTTTCCGAAGGCAATGTCCACAGCCCCGCTGCCCAAAACGACTAAATTTGGAAATAAAGGCTGGACAAGCGATAACGCGGTGATGAAGGCTCCACCCCGCATACTCGCGTTTCGCGAGGTCGGATCCCGCCATGATGTCGATTATTCGTTCCTGAAGTTGCTTGCAAGAAGGACAGCAACTAGGCAATCTCAATTCCAACTGAAGCTTCAACCTGAACAAGCTCTAATAAAAGTAAGAATGTGAAGATAGTGGAGATTGGTCGATGCTGGACACTTAGAAACTGCATGGAGATGTTTTCGAATGATTCTTCAGCTTCGGCTTCAGTAAAACTATTAAAAACCGACTATTCCCCGTAACTTTTTATTTATGAAATCATCTTCTTTACTTTTGTAGGGGGTCAAGTTCAGATAATCCCTCATGCTCAACGTAGTCAAGCCTCTTCCGACGGTGCTAAGTGGGTTAGTGGGGGCCACGCGGCGGCGCGGCGCCTTTTCATGTATGCATCCTCTCCGGCTAGATAGTAGTACTGGGCCTGAGTCTGGGATGGGACGGTGAGGTTGTACTGAAGTGTTTCGTGATTCAAAACAAATTACCTCTTGGCACATGTTATATGCTTGCATATTATGAATACTCTTCTTTTGAGCCGATAAAACCCTATTTTTAAGAAGGAGAGGGGCTCCGGGGTGGGTGAGATGGTTATCTCGTGCAAAAAGCCGAGATGAGATAAAAGCTGAACGTCCAATTGGCTCACCTACCCCGGAGCCACTCCCCTTCCTAAAATTAGGTGAAAAGTACGCAGTTATTACATAAAAGAGCTATGAAACGTCTTAAACACCATAACGGGCTCGCCCACCCTTCGTTGTCTACTATCTTTTTGTTGACATCACTTCCCCTTTTTCAAGCGGTCAGTCTTCAAGCGGAGAGGGCACAGACATGNTTAGCACCCTTCCGACTACTTATTACAGTTCATCGAAAGGAATAACAGGTGGTACGTATGATCTGAACTCAAACTTTTGAAATTCAAACTTGTTCAACTGATGCAGTACGTGCGTAACGAATATTACAAAAGTTAGGATTTTCACAATTTCAAGTAAGACTGGCAACACCCGACTTGAAGGACGTTCCAACTATCGGAGCAAAATCAGGTCCAAAACGTGATCCGTGACCTATGCATGTAAAGAAAACGGGGTGTGGTGCGTTAGGAACGAAATGGTCGCGTCGCCGTGAGAGGGGCGTCGCGCGCGAAGGAATGTAGCAGGATGCAGCAGTAGGTAAGAATTACAAGAACAAAAGTACTAGTAGTAGAACTATGCATAAAATAATGATCGCATATCGATATAGCTGTATGAAGTACGCTAGAGCTGTAATAACGGCGAATGAGTGGTCCGCGACAGCCGCGGCGAAGCGATTACCCAAAATCGTTCCTAATGCCCGTCTCCCAAGAAAACGGCACAACTCGTCTTACCACAGATGCTCTTAAACCAAAGACAGACCGTTTGAAAAAGGGAAGTGATGACAACAAAAAAAAATGCCGTACAAAACACCGGAACAGAATCGCAGATAGGTTCAATCCCTTCAGACTGTAAGCCAGCCTTTGTATACAACTTCCAGAAGGTGAAGAATGTAACGCATAAGCTATAATTCTCTGAGTAGAAGTGAACAGTAAATAAAGACATCCCCAACGCATGGTCACGGGTTCGAATCTCGGATTGAAGGCCTAGGCTAACCAAGTCTCCATCCCTTCGGGGTCGCTTAACCGGTGCCAAACTCGTTTGAGAGGATAAAAACTGTAACATGTACATCGCCTAGCTGCCGCAAGTCACTGTGAAAGCCGCACAACCATTCGATACCCCACTAAAATTCTAAACAAAGGTCGATTGCAAGGTGCATCCCTCAAACGAAATTGGTCTACGCCCAAAAACCTTATTACAAATGTGTAGATATAGCTTTTTATAGATGAAGTACTGGATGCCCTTCTTTGTGCACAACCCTGCCTACGGTACTGTACGGCAGGCAAAAAAAAACTTATTCGATGAATATTTATGGAACCATCAATGAAACAATTTAACAACGCTCGCTTCCAACCAAGAGACCAACATCATTTACACAAAACTCAAAACGAATTTGGATACAATCGAATAGTGTTCAGTTCACAGAAAAGTCATCAACACAGAGAAGATTTAAGTTTCTGTTCTCATCAAAAACACCACGATCTATTAAAAAAATAAAAGAGGCAGTGAACTAATTCCACTGATGATAACTCAAAAAAAAAGAAACTTCCTTGATGCAATAAATGAACAACGACACAACTATACCCACCCATATGATAACTCATTGCGTTCCATCTGTTTCCATGTTAACTGCTCCATCCTGGTTATTCTCATTTCCATTCACTGGAGCTGGTGGATGTCCTACGTCAATATGATCGTGGCCATTCTGATTATATGCTCCTTGGTAATCCATCGCGACTGGACTGTCGTGCGGAGCAGGCGGGTATTCCGACGACTCAGTTTCAGGAACAAACCTAAAGAACGAAAATTCACAAAAACGTTCTCATCAGCAAAATATCCCCGCAATTTAAAAAAAATGAATCCACAGGTGATTTGAATATTTTGCAACAGTATTTAATCAGATCATAAGTTTTCCATTAATTGGGAAGTCTCAGGTAGTCTAGACAACACGAATAAAGCACAGGGTTGTTTGAGCTTATGAAAATCAAATGATGCACTCACATCCCATCATTATTAGCCATCGGCATTCCATCATTGGGAAGTAGCATTTGTCGGTTCCAGCCTTTTTCCGGAATACGACCACTGGCCAGAATTGATTGAAGATATTCCACTTCGGCCAGTGATCTAGCACTTGCGATAGCACTCTTAAAATTGGCACATAATTCAGTAGCAGAAGCAACAGATTGTCTCGACAGAGCTCGACACGCATAACTTAAACATTGACTAGGAAATGGGAAAAGTAGTTAAACTTAGCACAGCCCTTCCCTTTCCCACTCAAAACGACACGACGGAAACGGCGCGAACAAGTAAGGGCCAATTATACTTAAATTTAATTTAAGCTGCCACTAAGACAGGAATTTCGAAAGCAACGTTCAGTCGAAAGGCAGCCTTAAAACGTCATCAATTTATGCACAAAGTGGACAACATTTGCTAAAAAGTCATAATTCGGCTTCGTCAGAACTCCGCGACCTAGTGGAAGTGGACATAGTTAGTAAAATGGGTTTCCCTGTTATACGACTGTGGAACGCATCGAACCTCTCAAACCTATAAAATTAAAATTGACATTGACAAGCGAAGCATACCTGAATTTTAGCTCGGTCTTCAGCAGTGATAGTGGCGCCGTTGACCCTTTGTAACTCTGCATTTTCTGTTTCACTCGGAGCAGTAGTGCTACGCTTGATAGCATCACGAGCTTTCTGACCTTTCTTGCCTTTGAACAACTTACGTGCAGCCTCACGTTCCTAAAGAACATGACATGAGTAAGTAAAAAAAATCTGGAACCAAGATATTATGACGAGTTATTAGTGATTAGAAGTAGATGAAAGTTTTCTTTAAAACACTCCAAAATGAGTCATAAGGTAACAAAAAATAACAAGAAGCTTCAATAAATGCCTAAAAGTTTCATATCAAACAAACTCACCGCTAATCTTATGCGCTTAAAGTCGATAACCCGAACTGATGGCAACTTGTAGATGATGTAAGCACGGTAGTTTGTTTTGTGAGTTATGGGATTCCCGATGAAGCTAAAATCGAATCAGTATGCAAAACGGTACAACGGAGGATTCGAAGCATGATATGAAGCTTTTACGTGATGTATTCCAATTTTTTGCAGTTGGCTAGTGGGTCGATGTCACCCAATTCAGTTATATTGTTGTTAGTCAGAGCAAGAATCTTCAAATTCGGCAACTTCTCGCCTATGTCAGGCTGAATGTAGCTGAAAAAAACAACCCAAAAATGAGAGTACTTCGATGTAGGCACTAATTTAGGCAGCCAAAATCGCATATTGACAAATTGTGGAACCGCGACTGCTCAAAGCACAAAAACATCTGAAACACTTCATACGAATCTAGATTTGCGCAACGCACGTCACATGGTTTTGAAGGCCTAACATTTATAGATATTTCTTAGCAGAGAACGCTCACAAAGTTTGATTCAAAAATGCGAAGAGTTCAAATTTCCCTCCCAACTCCCTTCAGGTACTGGTGACTACAACATATCTTGAAAGGCCCGGGTCCGATTTCATTTGGTCAAGCAAAAAAAACATTAAAGAGGAGATGGTGCTGTTGTCGTTAATCTTCAGGCAACGACATATCAAGGGCACCAACGTTATTAAACGATTTCAATATCGTGACATGTTCAAGTCATAAATGACCAAATGGTTCATCAATAAGTTAAACGACTCGAGGGTTAACGAACGTCCCTCTAATAAAGCGAATTCTTCTTCCCAATTGTTCTCAGAATACCAATTTGTGGTCCGAATCCCGCCTGTCTTTGCTTTGAAGTAAATTGTCAACAATCAATCAAATCTGTCCACAAGAACTGGGCGCATCTTATCGAACTCTATCAAAATTCGCATGAAATTTTTTTTCTCAGAGAAAAAACCGACAAATGAACTCAGGGAACGACCACCAAATCAGAGCTGTTTCGCTTGTTAAAAGAACGAATTTAAGCACCAATAGCGCTCATCTTGGGTCCAGTAAAAACTCAAAACCCACAAGACTAAACTGTACATACTCGGAATGACTGAGATCTTTGAATGTTAGTGAAGTATAACTTCACCCTTACGAGGCTCCAAGAAGAATGCTAATTTCCACAATGAAAAAGAACAAGCTGTAACTCACTGTACTCTGTTGTTGTGCAAATAGAGAGTATGTAGTCGTTTCAGCAATGGGAGATTATCCAATCTCTTGATGTCATTGTCTGTAAGGTCGATGACATCGAACTGGTCCTAAAACTTATTTACATGAGCAGTGACAAGCTCGTGCATATTGCAACACGAGAACAAAAGTTGCAAGATGACGCCTTACCAAAACTGGCCTGTCAACATTACCCTAACACAACCTTACCTTCGTAACTCCCATGTTTTCAATTACCGGTATTTTGTAACCACGTAAATTGAGCTCGCGTTCCCGAACAGTGTTGATAAACTGAGGCGCATTATCGATCAATTCCACGGTCAGACGAACCATTTTGTCTCAAAACTTCAAAAACTAAAATGAAATTTTAGAAAAAGATAAACAATGCAAAGCTCTGCGTAGAGAGGTAACAGTCACGGATGAAACCGTACAATCAACACCAATATTAAGCAAGCACATTTATAAATACACAACAAACCCAATGATGATTACCTGACTTCGTTAAGAACGGGTTAGCCTACACTAGAATTATTAACGCAAGCAATTTAACTCTATCCATCAAAATGCATTTCAATATTAAGTACAACCACAAAAATTAAGAGGTAAGACAAGGATACAACCAACGAATCATGGTAAAAGCAGCCCGTAAAATGTGGACGAGGCTTGTAGACACTAAAATGTCACCAGCTCTACTAGAAATATTTGTATAGTGATTCTCACATAAATGAAATATACAGCTGCAGATAGCACAGGCTCTTGTACAAAGAAGAAATCACGAAAGGATAAGTATAGCCGCAAAAACTGCGCACAAAACGAAGAAGACTGCCCATTGTTTAAGAAAACCTCCAATACTGAAAATGAAAACATTGGTTATTCAAAGTATAAACACAATTACTTTGCATTCAAACTTGAGAAAGGAATTCAACAAGTACACCTACCCTGTGTATTTTCCATAGATTTGCACGTAAAATCCTAACTTGAACATATTCCAGCTATCACTCCCTCCGTATCGCATTGTATTGAGAGCTAGGGCTACATGAGAATGGCAGTTGTCACAGCAAATATTATGCTAAATATTATTTGTATAGTGCTACTGTATTGTAATGTATCGTATATATATCCGACAGGATGGATACAAATATAGTTGAAGTCAGTGAAGTGATTAAAAGCTCTTATTTTGATGTCAATCAAACATTGACCAGTATACTTCAAGTCGTTGAGTTTTGAAGGGTGCAACGCGATACTGTTGAACAAGGCCTTTCCTGGCTTTTTGATATGCTAAATGTTACCCAAGTGAACAACAAGACTTGGTCAAGGCAAAGCCAACTGCAGATTCGCCAGAAAACTTGAGAAAGTAAGGTCTTTATTTGGATTAATTGCTTTTAGGAAAAAATTTCCTTCAGTGAACAATACTGTGCTTCAGTGGTTGACAAAGAAGTAAATAGCATTCTTAAAAAGGTAGGCGAGAGGCAGCCTCCCTTTTGGCCGTTTTCCTTCGATTGACCCTTCCTTCTAAGGGTGAAAGCACGTCACTATAGAACAGTAGACACTTCCTCACGAGATCAGTTCTAAGGCACTCACTGGAAATCATCACGGCTGCGAGTCCCTCACTACCGGTTTCAACAGTAACATTCTGTGGCCACCCATTGTGATGAGGGATTACCCAGCGCCTACTGTTTGGATGAAAATTCTCGAATGAAGGCTTGTTCTCGAAGACCATGGATGCAATTTAGAAAATATTGCACGCTTGTAAAACGCAGCTTACAACCCCTCTACGACAGTACATTTCCCTTACCGCCGGCGATTGTTACAAGAGTTTGTAATCGACACTCTAGTAGCTCTCAGAACCACAAAAGTAGTTAATGTCCGTTAAGTATAACCCTTTTGATAGGAGTTAGCCTGTGCAATCATTTGCTACCACTATCATATCGCCTTTTGATATTAGAACAAAGCATAATAGAGTAGATGGCTATTATCAACATTTGGAAGAGCTGAATAAGAACTCACAACTCTTCCTTTGTACTCATCCGATGCCTCCCGAATAGCTCTGTCATAAGCTTCTGCTCCACCTTCAACAGCATCCGCAGATAATCGCCAATACATGGTTGGCCAGTCGAAGCCCATGTCATCCTCCTCAAATACAAAGAAAAACCTCAAGGATCTTAAAGTTTTCGATATGATGCGTAAAAATAGGGCTAACCGTGACGCAGTAGCTTCCAGAGAAGTCACGAATGATTCCTCTGCTTGTAGCAATTCCCATATGACCAATTAATGGGAAAATCCATCTAAAATTTATGCCATGATCCTTCTGGAAAAGAAAATGATGTAAAACACTTACGTGAGAACTGGAAGAGGAGTCCAGACTATGCAGTATGGAAACCGATGTCTAGCAATGTCGATTTCCTCATCGACAACCATCCTTGAATCCTTCGCCTCCAGATTTGCACCACTTGTCAATTTCGAAGAAGTATCCACGATTGCTAAAATGCGTTGCCAAAAAGATCTTTGGAGCATGGAGAGATGAAGCGTCGCTGGCGTCACGGAAACGGTTGCGTAGCACAAACTCAAAAAAGAAAGCCATGAGCTGGGGTGGTACCATTTTCGATAGTTAAGGATCACAAAGAAAATGGCAGTTGCGCTGAACAAAATCTACCATAATCTGACTTTAGAGCTTGAAAATGGTGAACCATCATCACTAAAGCCCAATCCAAATCTTCAGCGAAAAATGATGAATGGCAGCTTCACTCGAAAAAAGAACCCAAGTCATTCCCCATAAAAAATCGGTAAAATTAGTTTTGCTAGCATTTTGCGGGATTACACTTTATGGATTAATCCTCGATGACTAGAAACAATGCCTAAATATCGGGAAGCAAACATCACATCGCGTCACTTCATGAAATTTCTCATCGCTTTTAAATTTGTTTCTTCAACTACATGAACCGCTGTGGTCTTGGAAATTTCCTACGACTTGAACTTACGAAGGCAGGCTGTAGCTGTAAATCTCCTAAGATTTATGAATGAAGAAACTGAGTCTATAAAACTTATTTGTGACAGAATGAATAAAAATTCAAGACCATCTCAACATCTTGGTGCCGATTAATGAAGACAACAGAGGAATATTTAGTAAATGAAACTCGTATTGAATTGCTCTGTAAGAACTAAAATGCAAGGTTGATGATGCTAAATAGGTCGTAGATATCTATGGTTAAACCGTTTCTGCATTTGCTAAATGAATGGGTCATGTTGCAGGCTGAAGGTATTAATGAAATCTTTGGAATTTCAGGCCAACTAGGGGAATTCTGGTGGCTCATCGCACCTTTTCTTTACTTACAACTAATGCTAGCAGGAAAATTGTTGATGTTCAACACGCCGCCAGCGTCCATTTACAAATAGTGCTAACTTAAATTGTTTTGTAAGACACTGAGACATCTTTTGCAGTACTCGTCAGTACAAGATCTAGGGCGGTTTCATGACCTTCTGTGATGTCAACGACGAAAAATTTGAAATTACTAAAAATTTAGTTTTACCGACACAATAATGAAGCCTAACTGAATCCATTTACTTCCACTTACTATAAGCCCCATGGCCTGAATTACTTAGCAGCCTTCAAAAACTAAGTATCGCATAGAAGTAAAATTGACAGAAATACATGAAATTTTAGAAACTGCATAAAACAACAACAAATGGCAAAGCTAACAAACAACACGAGCAATTCGAATTCTGATCTCTTTTTATTGGAAGTTGATCAGGTCACGAAGTAGCCGTGGAGCGAAGATTGGGATAGAGTAGGCCCATGAATTTTAAGGTAAATGCTTAAGTCTGTCTATAATGAACTTATAACATCCGCAAAAACTACTCTTCTACAAATTAACTCATAGACATATGTTGTTCAACAATGTTCACACTTTTTCATAGTTTAAAAACATTACGAATCCTCGAGACCCTTCTCATGCCTGTTATAGTTTTGTTTAACGATTGAGGAACTGATAGGTTTAGTCACAAGTAGTGTTTTTGGTGCTTTCGGGATGACGTTCTCCTAACCAACTTTTCCATATGAAATTGAGGTTTATCTTGTGGTTCTTAACATGGTTTTCATCAGAATCATTCACGTTTTTTGAATTTATGGCTTTTACGGGTTCCCAAAATTTGCGATCATTCCCATCACGTCAGTATCATCAAGGAGGTATAGTAATCTCGGAATTGTCAAGCTCGATTCAGAGTTTGCGACGGAAAGGAGACTGTAACAAGGATACATATTGACCGGAAGGCTTTCCCTTGGCGGCGCATTCATAGTGCGACGTGTGCATTGGCGCCAGCGCTACCTGATGAACGGAAAATAGTACGCGCTGTGAGAGGCGTCCAGGCAGTTACAGACGGCTACGCATTTATACAGAACTTGCAAACATACGCTTTCTTTTTCTACGCTTTCTTTTTCCTTCTTCAAAGGGACAGTTTTCCTCTTTATTTGCAAGGATATCATAAGAGGAAAAGTAGCATTTGTCTTCCATCTTGTAATGGCGCTACAAAATACCTATGCCCAAATCCTTCCTTTCAATCCGTCCGCTATAAGCCTGCACCCTACAGCATGGGTCATCGACTTGCGTGATATCGATTGGCGTTTGCGTCAGGGCGCACGTACTGTGAATGCGTCAAGTGACGCTGTGAATCTTGCCCAAAAAGGGGTCAGTATTGGAGTATGCCAACTCTAATTGTCATTTCAAATTGTCTTTTTATTTTCTTTTTTCCTTCCTTTCGATAAGATTACTCGCTTTTCTTTGTCCCTCAGGGGCACCATACAGTAACTCATACAGCTCCTGTTCAGGACCATCTTAATCAACATTGCTCCACCGATAACTTATAATTTTATGTGAATCAGATTCTCCTGTTTTCTGAGTATTTTTATTTTCTTTTCAGATGGCCTTCTTCTGATGGTATTTGTTTGTGGAAAATCGTTATTTTCCTAAACTTCTACTTTCACTTTTACTGCGTTTTTTGTGTTTCTTATTTCGGTCGTCAATCTTACTGTAATCACTTTCCAGATAGGAATCTATTTCAGCAATATGACCATTATAAAAGTCTTATATTAGCCCTACACCTGAGGCTCTTCGTAATGAACTTCCCTCAGTTAGGTCTCTTGACCAGCAATCATCCATCAATTTAAGTTAGCACCATTTGAGTAAAACAACAGGTTCTATGAGCTGCATAACCCCCTTTCTAACGACGCCAATCAAGGTTTCTATGATTATTTTGCCGAAAACTCTTTCGAAGAGCATCAGTGATGAATTTGTGCGACTTTTAGAATTACGTCAGTGCCAGAAGTTAGAAGTAGTTAAAAATGCTCGTTTTTCTGACTTCATTCCGGGTCGATACGCCTACTGGCAGCTGTGTGAACAGAGCAGAAAAATGGTTGAGAAGAAGATAAGCTAGAGCTGCAATATCAGAACATTGCTCAAATTCTTCCTAGAAACGTTCGAAGCGTTTTCTGTTAAAACATAGCCCAAGCTGTCCCTCGCCAACGCCTTTTCATTCTCCTCTCCTTCGTTCCCCAGAGATCTAAGTTTAGTTTGGCTACATGTATCGCATACGGGGATAAAGCTCTTAATTTCGAAAATCCCCTAATGGCGAAGTTCATGGCATTCAAATAATCCTGCTTATTGCGTAAAGTGCTGTGAATAGTGCATTCTCGGGAAAACTTTCTGCAAATTGTGATTCCTAGTTCATGAAGTTGCAGTGCCAACGCAAAGTTTTTTTCCATGTTCAGTTGACCACACCAAATTCTTTCTTTGCTCCTAATTTGTACATCAGCGAAGTCATATCCTTTGCTATCAGGTCGGAAAACGGCCTGGTTAGGGCGTTATAATGTCTCAAAGATTGTACCGTGTGTATGCGCGGACGAATTTCAATGGCATTGTAGGGGCTACGACATTCACAAGCGAACCCATGTGTGAAGTTCAAACAACTTGTCACGACCCATAGTAACAGTGAAGGGCAATTCTGGACAGTTTTGACTTGATGTAGTCAGCTCCTTGCGCAATTGCAATTGGTGAAATCTCGTCCAAATACAACTTCCATGTCATTTGCGTCATGGTAATCTCGTTCAACATCTATTTTCATTACTACTGAAGAGCATTATTTTCCGCAAAATCTACATTTCTTGCTCCCTTCACTACCGGTGCACTATTCCCAACCAATACTTCCGCTTTTCGATTTGAAAAAGGTACCTTCAAATTATGGTGAACTCTGCCTTTAAATAGAACCAGGAGGTTCTACTGTGAAGAAAAACGATTCTTTTCGTCTTATTAGAAGACGCCTATGCCCAGGACTGAAAGCAGCGTTGCAGGAGAAGTTGGGATCCGAACATGGCCGACGGTCTGACTGCTAGGAGTAAGCTAGCGGTGAGCAGGTTAGAAGGTGATAAGGTGAGAATCAGTTTGTGGATCCAACTGTTCAATTCCCAAAAGCAGAGGCAACATTAAACCACTTGGCTCCTTTGTTCAACACCTTTCATAGTTTACATCTTGGTCGTCCTGTTCTTCCTTTTTATAGACTTTTGACAATTTCGGTTTTTCCTCTACAGAGGGCATCTATGTAAGAAGAACGTCTCTGAGCATCGACATGGCTGTGGAGTTGAAGTGTGTGTCACAGTTGCGCTGCTGTTTTGACGTCAGGCTTACTAGAGGGAGCCTCCGCCTGACGCGCTTTGATGATCTGGCCGCAGGGATATCCTGCTCTGTCTGAACATTGTATCATCTATCCTGGAACCACTGTGGTCAAGTCAGTGTTGTCGTTATCGCAGCCGACCGAGGCACACCATCGTCCAAAGTGTGTGTCGATTCTAAAGTCAATCCGTGGTAGCAGCTTATTGCAAAGTTTAGACAGTCTGCGGTATGAAGAATCAGGTCCAATAGCTTCATTGCGCACTTTACAGTTATCTCACTGTTGTAGCTTTTCAATGGTAAGCCCACCTCAGTAGGTCCATTCTTCATGCTCCCGTTTACTAATCTCTCTTAAGTGACCCCAAATAAGGGTTCATGGTCTCTACTTACTTGGTTACTACTGCTTGTCGATGAGGGATGCTAGATTCATTGTGCAGAAGTGTGAAAAGCCAAGTATCTTTTGGTTAGACCGGTTGTTGAGTTACAGTAATGCGGTAGATGGGATTCTGAAAAGCCTATGATAAACTCATGCAACATGCAAACTTCTTTTGAGAAATTGCAAATGTGCTGCTGAAAAATTGCGTGTCCTGGCAAATATGCATGCATAGTTACTGAATTATCTTGAACTCCGTTTTTGTCTCTTGTACTTTCGAGGTTTTGTGTGGTTTCAGGTGACTGTATATGAGATAGATATTCAGCGGTTTCTGCAACGTTGTTAATAATCCATTATGGCGTGATCATCCCATGGATTCACGGGAAAAATGCATTGCAAAGTTGTTACGTGGATTTCACTTAGCAAAATTATTTTTACCAGGTAATGCTCTCCAAATAGTATTATTGAGGACGGAAGTGGTGTAGGGGCAAGTAGCGCATCATCAGACATGCATTGTCCTGGGATCGGAATACCGAACGATACTCGTCCAGAATAACCGAGCCTTCCATCTCTCTGTAGATTGGTACCACGGAAGATAAAAGCAGCGGTTCTTTCATCAGCTCGCCACCACAATTCGTTGTATAGGTAACATACTCATTCAAACGCCAATACGGTTTTGAATAGAAGTCGAATGCGGGGCGCATCCCATGGGTTTGATTAACCGCAACAACTCGATTCTTTTGAGTAGTATTATTGACTAATGTGGTTGTATATCGCTCCCACATTCTTATTCTTACTACTGATGACCGTTGAGGGTACCCCTAGAACAGTGTTGTTTTCGTCCAAGTGCAAAGGTGGGTACATGTGAAAATAGAGTGAACTTTTATTTTAGTCATCTATCATAACAAATTTCAATAAAGGAAAGTTGCATCAACATTTTTTTCCCGTGACGTCCAGTTCCCATGACGTCGTTTTTTTGTTTGGGTCGGGATTTTTTCGTGGAACTCGGAAAATGCCCTCAAGAACTTTATAAGCACAACATCAAACTTTGATTACTAGGCTGGGAATATGGAATGCAGTAACTGAAAAACATAAAAATAAAGTCAGTAGATGCAAATATTGATGTTGACAGTGTCCAACGTTTTGTCCCCGCATTCTACTCCGTTCAAAACTATGGTATCGTTTCCAAAGTGTAGGTAGCCTATACAATAACTTACGGTGGACAATCGACGTACAGTCAATGCTTTTATACTCCCGGACAAGTCTGAAACCAATTGACCGATCCCAGAGGGATGGAGGGATTGATTGGCTTAAGGGATACTGAAACCAATTGACCGATCCCAGAGGGATGGAGGGATTGATTGGCTTAAGGGATATCGGTTCAGGATTTGAACCCGTGACCCGTGGCGTGTGTGATAGTGCTCACTTGATACTTTTACTCCTTGCCCGGGAGAGTGTGGCTAGGGAGTTGGTTCGAGAAGTCTTCGAATTCTCTTTTGTTCTATCCCAATAGGGAGAAGATTATTGTCAACCTAAGTTNGAGGGATTGATTGGCTTAAGGGATATCGGTTCAGGATTTGAACCCGTGATCCGTGGCGTGTGTGATAGTGCTCACTTGCCACTATTACTCCTTCGCCCGGGAGAGTGTGCTAGGGACTTATGGTTAGTTCGAGAAGTCTCTGAATTCTCTCTTGTTTTACCCCAACAGGAAGAAGATTATTGTCAACCTATGTTTATACAATTTTAAAACCCTCCCTTTGATCTTTTGAATCCTTCAAAATTTGGTCCTCTTAGTTACATTCCATGATGGTAAACTCGAATTCATTTTTCAAATTCTTTGAGAAACTCCTTAGGGTGAATTTGAAAGCCAGTTTCTCATATGCGCAATCAAATACACAAATTAGAATTTGAGTTCTAATCTCTGACATTTCAAAATTTTGCTTTTTTTTTCTTTAGGAGGTATGCTTAGAATACTTTTTTTTGCACTAGTTGAAGCTAAAAAAAGTGAAAGCCATGTTTACTGCTGCTTTTGAATTACACCTTTCGTGACGTAATTTAGAATTTTAAATTAAAAAGTGCATTTATTAGCTTGATGTCGTGCGATCGATGCAGGGTGCTTTCAAATGAGAAGTAGCATCTTTTTTACGTCGAACAAAGGAAAGCTGTCAATGTTTTGCACTATCACCTGTATTCTTCTAAGTCTGTGCTAGTGTTCATGGAAGGAAGATGAAGAAGGGAACCAGTAAAACGCATTTTCATGCCTAGGTCCGAATCTGAGAGATCACGGCGTAGCGTACTTGGAAGCGCTCTCCTTGACATTTTCGAGGAGATTTCTTCTCACGCATACCTGCTTTCTGGGTCCCAAAACGTAAACTGTAATACTGCCTCGATCACATTTGGCAAGTATCCTATTGAGTTCTCTGGCCTTAACTTCGAACTAGGGCTTGAGCGGTCTCTACTGTGTATCACTAAAGAGTTGTTGAACGATTGGGAGGCTAGGACCCGAACAACATGTTTTCATCTTGAGCAGGAGCTGTACCGACTTTTCGGATCACAGTTATATGAATTCCTCCTTTCCCCCTCTATTTCCATGCCTATGTATCCGTAAGATCTACTAGCATTAAGGTTCCTGTTACTCATGCAGAGGTGGAGGGTTGCCGTGAGAAGATGATGATAATTTGCCGGCTGAGCGACCTGCTTTTTCTGTCCTCTATAAATTGAACGATGGGATTGAAGATGACATTTGCTTGACGACCATTAGAAACCATTGCGACTGGACCAATTGTCATTGACGTCTCTTAAAAAGAAACGTTTTGTGACCGCAGACCGGAAATTCATTGAACTCTGCAAGGCGATTTATCCTATAGAAAAACCAACTTGCAAAATTCGGTTGATCGAAACCAAATGTTAGGTGCTAAGAGTTACAAAACTGGTCTTGCACAAAGTAGTCGGGGCCAAACGGATTTTGATCCTATGAATTGAAAAAAAAATCGTAGAATTCGAGTACCTCCACCTAACTACCCCCATATTGATAAGGACTGATACAGAAATTATACGGAATTGAGATTTTCGTCATAGTTATCGATGAGTGGCTATATTAAGTCTATGTATGACAGTAGGGCGGAGGTGGTATAGTGGCAAGTGGCGCACTATTCATACGCACGGTTAGGAGTTCGAATCCCGGACCCGACTAGGCCAACCAAGCCTTTCATCCCAACGGGGTTGATAATTGGTATCACACCATCTGAGAGTATAAAGTACTGACTTGTACATCGGCTGGCCCCGCAATTCATTGCATAGACCACTTGCGCACTCATTACGCCACTACGTTTCTGAATGAAAGTCGAATGCGGGGGCCCATCCCTCAGATGGGATTGAATAACGCCAAAAACTGTAAGTCTAGGAATCAAGTCCTTTCATTTTTACGGCCGCAATCCCGAGCATGTTGCGAAGGTGGGAGTTAGGACAAAGGTATACCCACACGTTTTGAAAATCTACAAACCAATCAGTGTCAGGATGACTCTCAAGTTCTGCAAGAGGCGATCGACTTAACAGCGAAATGGTCCAAACAATGGCAATTCCCCATAGCTCCGCAAAAGGGTTTACATTCGACTGGTATCTAGAAGGCCTCCATTAGGACACTTGTATACTATTGACGGGTCCCTCTTACAGCTGTTGAATCGGTTAGAAACCTAGATTTCAGCTATAATAACAGATTTGGGAGCACATAGGGTAAAAATGGCTCATACTTGCAAATCTCGAATCTTGCCAGGGCCATCTACCCAGATTAAAGAAGAATTCCTTCGTGTCTACAACTCAAACGTGCGTCCTGTGATAGAAGCTAGTTCTATGGTCTTCATTCCCTCAGAAGGAAAACACTTATGTATATGTACTGGAGAAGGTTCAGAATAATTTCACTCGTATACTGCTTATTCGACTAAGTGGTTTCCTCTACGACTGCACACCAAAAGCTGCAAATGGAAACAGGTATCTGGGAAAGTCAGCCATTCAATCTAGACGTTAAATTTTTGGTCTTTTTTCATTTCTCTTTTTCATTTTCAAAATATACCTCCGAGTACAAGAGGAGGTTCCAGTAAGTTTTTTCTCAGTCAACCCAAGACTACTTTGGCAAGTCAAAAGTATTTCGTTCAGAGTTAGAAGTCATTATTTGAAGCTTTCGGAAAATATATCAATAATTATCATTACCATTGGCTTAACTCAGATATTGGGTGGCCTATATGCTGTTGAGTAACGTTGCAGAGCATTAGCATTTTCTGAAACCGACTGCTGAACCCAAACTGTTACTATTAGATTTCGGTTAATTTTACTGGTTTTCGTACGTATGGGAATTATTTCNTTTTTTCCCATTTGAGCATTTTGCACACGAAATAAACCTGAACCTTAACTTAAACGTGGGACACCTGAATGGGACAAATGCCACTACTTATCCGGGAAAGCGGGAAATTAAGTGCGTGCCAAAAGAAAACAGTAAACACCATAATAATGAGTGGTTTACGTAGAAAACAAGAAATCCTAAGATATTCGAGCCCTGAGGAGCGCTGCCTGCACAGGTGCAATGGTTCTCAAATTGTATTAAAATAGAAACGAATTTTAATTTATTTTGCCCGATGGGAACTCTTCACAATAGGCCCGATCTCTCTTTTTGGAGTGCGAAGATTCGCATTAAACAAGTAAGAAATCCGTGGCTGTAGATATTTCTGTGAACAACAAGAGTAGTATTTGACATTTTATTCTACAACAACTACATCAGCCCTCGAATGTATTCGAATAGCTGCTATTCACTGGTAACAGAGATGCCTAATCAGTATCGACTATACATATATCCCGTTTTGTTTGAAAGTTTCTGTATAAGAGAGAGATCCACACAATGTCCTAATTTTTTGATATGTTTTGCATCGGCGGCGGACTCTGGCCTCGTTACGGTACCCGTAGTTATCCAGTACACTAAATCCCCATGTTCTCAACCTAGCAATATACAATACACCACGAGAATTGACAATAATCAAGAAGTAAACATGGAAAACACGTGGTGTTCGATAGTAAATCAATAGCTAGAGGGAAAGATCTGGGAGATGAAAGAATCCGCTTTAGGAAACCGAGTTATTTGGACCGTTGGACGTTATGGGAGGGAACATCCTATGCTTGAAACAAGTTCACCAGGATTTCGATGGGCACACGCTCACATAGTGGAGGAAGAGATTACTCGAGGCCGCCAGTAAGTAAGTAGACTTTGACGGGGGGCCTCACAATCACGAAAGAAAATCTCACGTATAAATGCCATCTAATGATCTGTTGCATGTTTGTGTGTTCAGTCTCTGATCGTCGTTCGCCATTGCACCAGCCGGCAGACCCGCATTTATCCAGTCTTGCAGCAGAGGGCTTCCAGTTCGGACATTTTGCATTGACCAGCACAACATTTCTTGGCGATGGACAGTTCCCGCTTCATAAGCCGCTGCACTGTTTCACGAGCAGTTTCTGCAAAAGGCGTTCATTAGAGTATGCTTCCGCATCGACTCCATCAAGAGCAAATGGGACCCTGTATTCCACAGAGTAGCGAGAGGACCATAACACCCGGGGAAAAGTCTGATACCACAACAGAGATAGCAGCCGGTATTCTCCCAGGAGGAGAACTTGCCTGAACTTGCGGCAGTGCGGGGAAATAGAGGCATAAAATGGCATATGGAAGCAAAACCAACTCACCATCTATGAGAGAGCGCTTTACGATCTCCGATCCTGCTGGAAGGATGCAGGAATTGCAGAGTACCAGTAGATGCTCAATGAATTTCTGTCCACACAATCGCTTAGCTCGCCGTTCACGAACTAATGTTAGACCAGATGTCTTCTCAAGCTGAACATCATGGGCACCCACATCGAGCTCTTGTTCGGGTAAATTTTCAAGTGCTTGTCGTTCCATTGGCCATTCATAATAAAGAGTATGAGCAAAAGTAAACATCAAAGGCAGAAGCACTAATCCAAGGTGCATGGCCGAACAGAAAGCCCGTGAGCGTGTGGTGAGTTGACACCTGTTCGAGCCGCTTTATATGGCTCGGGGGCGGCGCTAGAAGGCCTGTGCCCATACCAATTAGTATCGTTCAACGCGGAGAATCCGCCATGCGACGACGTCAACCGCGACCATAAGAAAAAGCGGAACCTGTATGTCAGTTACTGCAAGAGAGCTGTTTTCCGGAAACTCCTCCCAAGCAATCCTCAGCAAATATCATAAAGGACAGCGATCACTCTTTATCCGGTAACAAGTGAATATGTCAAAGCCTAAGCACTCCGGAGAGCTCTGTCTAGATTAAAACGTGTGCCAATTCTAATCCGCAGGAAGTTTTGCAGGAAATTCTTTTGAACTTTATGGAAACTAACATGGCTCAGTTGCAGGCCTGTGGACGAACCGGACTGCACTTATCACAATTTCAAAGCCAAGACTGCACTTATTACAGTTTCGAGGCCACACGTAGCGATGACCATTTTCTGGGAGTTCAATACGAGTTTGTAGGTATGGACAGCCGGGTCTAAACAGGAAGGAAGAAAGTTTATTCGTTGTACAAGAAACATTGGGACCACTTCAGAAACTAGGTCTGAATGAAAACTTAGATTTTGTCAAAGGATCAGCGAACCACTACCAATTACAGTGACCACGACGAAGAGGAAATGGCCAGTAGCTGAAGGCTTTGAGTAGAGTTTGTAAAAATCCTGGATCCTGGAAACAAAGCTACATGTGGGTCCCTGCACGCTGGGCAGTTTCTCGATAAAATACGGGGTGACTTTGAAAATACATCGGGATTTCTCTCCTCTACAGGCCCGTACCCATGACAAGGTACACCTTAACCTTGGGATGCCCTTAAAAATTTGATTGGATATTCAGTTTTTAAGCCACTTGCAAGTAATTCGTGAACCCGCTGTACTTTATTCTTCTTTCAAGGTTTCAGCGATGTCGTTTCTTGAACTCAAGTGGACTTGCTGGTCTGGGCACCTTACCATGAATAATTCATCATCGCATTTTGATTAATGTGGGAAGTCTGTGTCTCCTTCGTTTTACGAAACCCACTCTCCAAATTTTGCCATATTTTCACATAACCCATAAGCGTACTTCTTTCTTGGCATTTAAGTATTCGGTAAAAAATGGAACGGAAAACAAAATTTTTCGTGAATGACGTCTTACCACGCCACTAGGTTTCCTCCGCCTTCGCGCAGGCGCATTGCACGTGAATGGGGTGGTGTACTGGGAAAATTGTTTCGTGAGAACAAAAATTTTATGAAAATTGTACGATTGAATTTTGAAAAAAAAACTTGTAATAAGTGTTTGTGGTGGTGATTAATTTCAATGTTAGGTAACTCAAACTAAATTTCCGCTGTTGAATGAAATTGAAAACATCCTAGAACTGTTAGTTCCGAGGTCCGCCTCTTTTGAAGCATTCAAGGGATATACCTAAGAATTTTTATTTTTTAAAAAATTTGTTCATTAAACAGAACCATTTGATTAGCAGGAAATGAAAAGCCGGCTGGGGAACACTGAAATAAATGAGCAAAAGTTTTAGAGCACTTGCAATCCCAAAAGTGTTAGGCTTGGTCGACCATACTTCCCAAAATTCAGCTCTACTTCCTCAGTAGGCATAGTATCATCGGCTTGCCTGGGTCTCGAGGTGTTCGTCGTAGGTAAAAGATGAACGATGAACTCTTTTGACTTAACAGCCTCATTTCGGGGCTGCACACTGCATTGGACCTCCATTCAGAATTGAAATGGCGCATTGAATGTGTATTTTGCCTATACAATGTTTGGCGTTAGCAGCTGATTCACTAACCTCCCAAACGCTTTTAGTTTTGTGTAGTACTTTTATCCTCCCAGACAAACCTGGTCCAAGCAGTCGACTCTGGAGATGTAGGAAGGTTTGCTTGGCTTGCGCGAGTACCGGTTTGGGAATGATCTCGGACCTTGAACGTGTAATACGCCTCTTGCTACTACCCCATACCGTCATTGATATTGGCATAAGTATTTTTATTGAGCAGTTCGAACAAGCATAAGAGAAGTCAGCTATTCCAATAACTCATGACTAATTTCGAGCTGCACAGGGGATTCCCATCAAAATAATAACGAAGGAGAAGGTGAACGTTTGTAATTGACGGTGTAGTTATTTAGTTGGAAAGTGTTACCTACTTGGTGCTGTCCTCATAAAGTATTCCGCCCCAACGTTCAATTAGAAACTTTACAGAATCGTGCATACTCACATGATCTTACGATGTACTTCGAGAAAAACAGCCCAAGTCTAAGCCATAATCGTCTGGTGTGTGTGTGTGGCTATCGCTACTGCCTCCCAAGAATGACGACAGTGGGTGGAAATAATTAGGGAAAACAATGACTCACAGTATATTATTATGTGGGTACTGGAAAAGAACAACTTGTATTGATTCGACTTGAGTAGCGGAAGTTGAAGGACACATAGAAAGGGTACGTGATAGCTACTGTACTTAACTATGTGGCCCCCACAGCTGAAAAGGCAGGGTGCGCGTCATTCCCATGGGTCGCCCTACATCCTAGAGTGGCTCTCCACTAAGTGGACAACTACGGTATCCTGGTACAGCGAGTGGAGCTGCGGAAGTCTACTAGACTCCATCCTGCATCTCGTGTTGGCACAGGACGCCGGATACCAAGACGAATGACCCCATATGGCTGTTGCAGAATTGCAACCGTGGCCACACTGCAACTGAAAGAAAATTTCTTCGTTTTTCCAGGGTTGGCTGGAAATTGGGAAGGCCTTGGAACCTGTCTGAAATATTTCCGAATATATACAAAATAATGGACCTACAGCGATTTCGCAGGAGGCACACTCATCAGGGATCGATACTCGCCCAGGCCAATCGCGTTTTTCATCCCTCCAGGCTCGTTCAGTGGGTGCGAGGTCTGAGAGGATAAAACACTGGCTAGCACATTGGCTGGCTACCTTAAGACATCAATGTACAGGTCACATACGCATTCAATAACGTCATTACGATTGTAACAAGAAGTCGAATGCGTGGGCTCATCCCAATAATGGGATTAATTAACACCTGAGGCCTTATCCTTTACCCTTTATAGAAGCCTTTGACATGGGTTACCCTAAATAGGCATGCCTGCACGATGTCCTTTGCAAACCGACCGAACTGTACACTTAGGAGTTAGCACAATAAATGCTCCTAAGAATAGGGCAGGTCCTGCTCATGTGATATGTCACGCTTCCCGCATCAACCCCGACCGGACTGTAGTTCGTTTCTCGAACTTCTGAAGCTGCTTTCATGGAGTCTGAATGTTTTCACTTTTATATTGAGAAAAAGAAATAGTAATTAGCGATAATAGCCTTTATTGAGATAAACTGTAGTTCGAACCAATCAGCATCTTCGTAGGACGTCGTCGTCCACAAATTACCCTCCGACTTATTCACGTCATTAGGAATCGTCGTTGCGCTATTTTTAGCTCGGGTAATTGTTGCCATTCATAAGGCTATGTATGCTATGACGAACCCCTCGCTTATACTATCGCCTTGCTATCCTGGACCTATTGAACCCTCTCAGAGTTTTTGCGGACATATGGTTCTTGGTTCTTCACAAAAGGGGATCTCTGATCCCATATAACCGTTCAGCGTTAGACCTCAGTAAAACCACCGGAGCTAGCATTGAAAAAAAGTAATTTGATTCCTTGAGCTGGAAACAATCAGGATTCTCTATAAACTCCCAGCCTGGAGCCAGCCCAGAAAAACTTTCGTATTGCATTGACTAACGGTTTCAAAACCAATAGTTCTCAACACTGGTTCTGTTAAGTATTCGGAAATCTCAGGTGCGTGGCGCAGCCGCAGCCCATGTTCTTAGAGCAACTCAAGAGACCTGAACTAGTTTGGATCGCTCATTGACCTGTCGGTTAGGGGCCTTCGCCCTCCTCCACCCCCTTTTTTTTTGAGAGAGAGTTTCTGATCCTTCTCCTCGTCAGATATCTAGGCCACCTCAAAGGGGATCGAAATACCCCTCCCAAATGGGAGCCAAAGAATAGGTACAGAAGCTTGCATCAAACTGCCACTTTGAGGATGACTTTCCTTTACATTTATTGATAACAACCTACATTACCCTCTACCATAGTTTACTCAAACTGCTGAATTATTAAGCTTCTCTTCTATTGTAAAAGTTAATTCCAGTACATTTTCTGTATCGTTGTGCTTTGCCTACACACTCTGGTTTTTCATTCCAATTTCCATTAGGAGCATAGAAATATTCCAGCAAACGCTGAAGAAGCGTCACAACCTAATCCCCGGCAAATATCACAAACCGTTCCAAATTATTAAAAATTCAACCCCGTGCATTTTAGTTATTAAGTAAACCGATAACGTTTTATGTAAGGTAGAGGCTTGGAACTCGTTCACGTGAATTGCCTATGTACAAAATGAAATTCGAGATACATCTTGCGCACTCTTTTTTTCTCAAACTTCTTCCCTTAGCTTGAACTAATATACTAATGGAAGGTTTTTTGGAGATTTCTTCCCAATTCTTACTCGATATGACTAATCGCCTTAGTTTTGCGGCCAATTTCTTTTTCGCTCTTCGTCCATTGTGAAGGTAAATCGAACTTTACTCGAGTTCCCTTACTTCATTGGGCAGAGCATCGAGAAAGTATCCACAGAGCAAAGATGAACCAACCGCGAACCAATTGCTTGGAACGTTTCCAAAAATTTCGCAAAATTCCAGCTGCCCATCGGATATTGAGTAAAGTTGTAATTTTTGCTGATTCTTCCCTCACATAATGTCATAGGGTATCTCAAAAGGGAGTATCAACAGGCCATTCCCAGGAATTTGAAGAGAGGGTATAGAAATGAAAGAAGCCCGGAGATTACATCAAACTGCCGCTTTGGGGAGACTTTTTGTTTGCTTTCCATTTATTGATAATAA